CTAACCTTTTATGACGTTCCTTTACCTTTTCAAGACAGAGGATGGTCGATTGCTGAAGTTTGAGTTAAATGAACACTGTATGTAAAGCAACAAGTATGTTTACATTTAAAAGGCAAAATATTAGATGTTCGCTGAAGAGTTTTAAAAGGAAATTTAGCGGCAAACGCTTGGCTGTGCTTCGGTTTTAAAAAATTACTGATAATGACTCCGGTATCTGTGTGTGTCTTCATTACTTGCTTACTTCTGCCACGCCTTCTGGAGGAGCATGGGTTGATCACCGATATTCTCCAACAAAATCTGTCCTGATTAATCCTTTCCAGTTCTTTCCAGTTCCTATTCACTCTTTTGACACCTGCTTCCAAATCCAGGTGCGGCGTGTACTCTAGCCTTCCCCTTTTCCGTTTCCCTTCGGGATCCCACGTTAGCACTTGCCTTGTGATGCAGCTTGATGATTTTCTCAATGTTCGTCCTATACACTTTGAGACTCTTTTCTTAATTTCCCTTCAGCTGGAAGCTGGTTCTCTCTCTCCTACAATAGCCTGTTGTCGATAATATCAAGTCAACCAATACTGGGTATCTTGCGTAGATAAATGCCCATAAATATTTGTATATTCTTGATGATGGTTGTGTCCAGCAGCAGAGACAGTAAATCAACAAACTTATTTTAATATCCGAAGTATTTTTCAGCCAAAGTTCTGGATTCTTCCTATGAACGTTCTTTTAATGCCGATATTATAAGGTGTTTTGTTTGAACATTCTAGAAGCTGACCGCTGGATGAAGACACTCCTAAATGAAGCCTACTTTGTTCCAATTTTCGAGTGTTTTTGTCACACCTTGGGAGATTATTAGCCCCAGGAAGAAAGAAACGATAAGCCACACCAGGTTATATTTCAGTACACTGGGCTGCGTACCTCCTAGAACGACGGAATGGCCTCGATTTAGTACACCAAGATGAATCAACCCACAACTCAATGTACCTTGTCATCCTTGAGTTCACATCTCGCTGACCTAAGGATATCTTCACGTAAAAAAGATTCAGAAAGTGGGATTGTTAAATTCCGTCCATCCGTCATCCACTATACAGCTGAGGTGCAACATGATCGAGAACACCAGAAGATATACTACTAGTCTATCTCTTCACTCGATGTGTGATATATAAAACACAACACGTACACATAATTACCGGCGCAAATGAAGTTCCTCTCAGTTTTTTAAACATCATAGTGATAATTAAGTGGAAAAGTTGCATCTGTTGTATTTGCTAGTGACGTCTTAAAACCATATGGAACCCCTAAACAAAGGTCTCTCTTCATTAAATAAAAACAAATTTTGCCATTTCAGTCACTGAAAAGTTTTGAATGAATTTAAGGCCAGTGATATTATAACATTCCGAGTTGGGCGGTTGAGTCGTTTGAGCATATCCTGATAAGATTAAACCTTTAGTGCCCAAGCATCTGTTTGCCTTCCTATCTTGTGTAATCCCATCACTCCACATTGCCTGTAGAAAGATTTTTGTGCTTAAAATTAATACCTCGAGCTAAACCCGTAATAAATACCTACAACAACTGCCTAAAAGTTTTTTCTGTCCCGTTTTGGCGGTGCATAGTTATTGATTCTACAAACTGACCTCGAATCCTAGCCAAATTCTGTGTCATCCTGGAAGAATCCCTACCTTTTAAGAGGCATCACTGGGTGTTGATGTTTATCAAACTGAACCGAGACCATTACTGATACATGACAGTTGAAGCTTAACTGTTTAAAGATGGTATTTGTGGTAGTCTGGTCATATCCGAATATATTAGGTGACTTTATGTTCTCTGAACGGGCTACAAGATTAGGATAGCCTTGAAGCCTGGTTAGGGTATTCAGGGCCAGAGCCATTATTTAGTATAGCTCCTACGAAAGACTATGTGAGTCGAGCAGTTGCATTCCCTTAGTTTACTCTGAACGAGTTAAACGTTCGTTCAAAAGACAGATATGAATATCATTTCAATTACACTCTGAAATCTGCATGCCCTAGTACTGATATAGTCGACACATCTTGGGAAATATTTAGATCATGTACACCATTGATCGGGCAAAAGCAAGGTACCTGTATGCAACACCTTTAAATTAGGTCTCATATAGCTAGAATATGAGGTTTGAAACAACTATCCGAATCGCTAAAAGGCTCTGTGTAGTTATTGTGGCAAGCTAAACCCCTCAACAACCTCTTTAATACGATGAACGACATTTGCCGAGAAATTAACTTGTCAGAGTTAGATAGTTTAAGAAGTTTGAAGCTATTAGAAATAAAATTTTGTTTCCTGTGTTCTAAACACTTATTTAAGTTGTGTCTCAGTAGTATGACTATAAAAATTTTAACATTAATATACTCAAGTAGTTCAATGACCTTTCAGATTTTAGCCAAGCCCGTTTGAGCCAGCGTGTCTGGATTATCGTATAAATATTGGCAGAAATACTCAATTATCTCAACTGACACTCCCTCCAAGCGCGAATTGAGATATTGGCAGTCAGTTGATACCATATGTTACCTGCGATATCAATACATTCAAACAATCCCTGGGGCCCTCAGGAAGAGTTTAGTCAATTACGAGGCCGGAGATAAACCAACAAATACAGTTGATGTGGATGAAAAGGCGAATCAAGTCCATAAGATCTACGAATACTACTAACTGCGAATACAGCCATAGAAATGAACTGATATGGCACTTACGAAACACATGGAAAGCCAACTTCTATATGAATATGGGACCTAAGACATCGTCGGGAATAAAAATGAAAATTCTTCATTTAAATCGTGCGGCCCAGAGAACCCGCCATCGTCAGAAGTGCTACATATATCTTCATCGTATAGATCAACTACCCGATATGGCCAAAATATCTGTGTGCCATATGTTTCGACGGCATGAACGAAGTCAGATTGTATACTCTGAACCTGAAGAGCACCAGATGATTCTTTGTTTGCTAATGAGGGTATGATCACTGGACTGAAACATCGTAGGAGTGATGTGTGAAGGCGAGACATGAGGATAACGATCCGCGTATTGGGTCGAAACCTATCGTTTTTGTGACGCATCTTAAGAAAGGATGTGAAAAGTTTGGGTGATTTATATGGTTCGATCGACCAATGTGATCTTGCGCCAAAGTCATACCATTGTTTGTTCTGGCCCGCCCTAGTGTGGCAGCCAGCGCTATCATATATAAGGATCTTTGAAAAATGAATTCCAGTCCGCTGATGCAATAGCTCATTTAATAAAAAGAAAAAAGTTCTATTACAATAATGACGGCTGACCGAGCTATGACGTTACAGTCTGCACCTAGCCGGAATGCACTTCGTATGCTAGGAGGGAGTGCAGAGCAGGGTGGGTGAAAAGTGCTGGGAAAGAGAAATAAAGAAGGATGAGTCGATGATAAGACAAGCACACATAGTGCCCTTACATTTATTAAGGAAAACAATAGACAGCAACCACAATCTTCAGTTAAAGAAAACCTCTACATCGAAACTAAAAGCGGTGGATGATAAGCGAGAACGAGAAGTGTATGAACAGCAGCGTATGTACTAGCGATAATCAGTGTCATGCAAGCAGAAAACACGACGGTAACGGAGCGTCAAAATTAAATATATATAACAACTTCTAAAGTCAACTGTAGTAATGGTACAGAACATGTTTAATTATGGAAAATGGAAAAAAAAAGAAAATTATTTGTCAAATAGATTTACGGTGACAATTCACACAAGACTTACGCTACTGGTAATCTCTATTGGTTGCTTTCTCTAAAAAATAAAAGCTTATTGTGATATTAGCACACCATCTGCCCATTTTCCTCCTCATTCTTATGTTTTCCAGTTCTTCCCACACACAGTGACTTTCGCGCTCATCCTCGATACGCCAAGGGCCCTACTAACCATGATATTGAATATGTGTTACCTACTGACTGAAAGGATGCTATCTTCATTCCTATACATAAAACAGAACCAAGTCAACTGCCATCGAACTACAGACCTGTCAATCTCACTAATGCCGTAGTCAAAGTACTGGAAAGAATGGTCTAAAAGACCACAATGACAATCGTGGAAACCAACAACTTGTTAAACAACATGGTTCCAGGAAAGGTTTATCTTGCACAACAAACCTCCTTATAGCAAAGGAGCAATGGATAAAGGCTCTAAACAAAGGAAAATCAGTGGATGCTGTATACATTATTTGCAGAAAAAAACCAATTGACAAGGTGCTAATGAATAGACTGCTACTGAAGCTAGGAAATCTGGGCATTGCCGGACCTCCTAGTAGGTCGTACACAGAAAGTAAGAGTAAATAGGTACAGCAAATGGGAAGTGCCTGTACCCGTGCTCCAGCCTAATAACGATCTTGGGGTGACAGTGGGTCATGATCTTAAGACCATGACTCACTTCCAGGAGGTTGCAGTTAAGGGGTTTAGAACAATATGAGCTTTAAAACGGACATTCACCAAGTTAGATACTACCAGGTTCACTATGGTATACACAACCTTAGTGAGAACTAAGCTTGAGAAGGTGACTCGGATACCCTGGAAAAAGTACTGGGAACAGACACACGTGCAATTCCCAAACTCCGTAATTCACCATACAAAGAGCGGCTTGAAAAGCCAGAACTCTTCACTCTGCCTTATTGTAAATTAAGAGGTGATCGGATTTTGATATATAGAATGACAAGAAATGATTTTGAATCTAACATATCCTCTCGTTCTCTTCCCACTAGATAGGGACATCTCAGAGGATATAGTAGGCGAGTAGAAAGCCAAGAACGAACAAAATACCCGTGACATACAGGTTTACACACCTAGTCATCAATTCTTGAAACCTGTTACCCAAATCAGTGGTGTCGGCACCTTCAATTGACTCATTCAAGAGAAGATTGAACACTCACAGAAGCATGCTAGAAAAGGAATAACATAGGCCATAGGCAATAGGCCTTCTGTCCTTACCATACAATTCTGAATCTGAATCAATACTCAACTCAAACAATTACACTACTTTAAAAGGTCAAAATTCTCAGAAACATGTAAACTCACTAAAATATTCCAACTTGACTAGCTAATTAAAAGTTTCTGAAATGAAACAAAACCACACTGTTTAAAGTCGCCACAAGACTGACTAACTCTAGGTCACATGGAATAGGTTGGCGGATTGCTGGAAGTATTTTATGGTTGCAAGAGATTGTCGTGGTTTTTTCATATGGTGTGTCGTGTTGTAGTATATCATCCTTTGTCTATCTCCGCCTATGTCACATTCTTTCGATGCAATAGAAGGTCGATATCAATCTTTTACGTCCGAACCATGTGTGCTGGAGAAGCAGATACAAATGAATCAATTTGGCGTCGGTAACGCTGCCATTCGCTTATCTTTCCTTGAATACTACTGCAAAAATGAAACTTCTCATTTCCAAGCAGACACAAGTATCAATGGTTTGTTGATCTTTTTAAGATTACTGGTTGTAACTTCTGGTAGGCAGCATATTTTGTATTAACGTAGGGAATGAAATACGAATATATACACAGGAGCACGCCCATTCTTCGAACGAGCGCAGATTCTGCGGTGGTTCTCCAGCCCATATCAGATTCAGGGCACCTCTAACATCACATTGCTTTAGACGTGCCACAGACAAAGTAAGAGACTCTCAGTTACTGATTGGATTGGCCAATGGTGAAATAAAGTTGATTGATCCTCTCAAAGAAGACCCAAACAAGGTTTTCAATGAAGGGGTATGTGTGTTTTCTGCATTTCACACTTTCATAGAAGTCTGTCGATGAAACTCCCGTAACTTGTGTCGGCTGGGTCCCTCATTCACCTCATCAGTTCTTAGTCAGTCATTCCAGTGGGTGTATGTATTTGTACGATGAAACACTTGCGCAGCTGTCAGCTCCAACATATAACCTGTTTAAACAAGGTATTGGGTTTTCAGTACATACTTGTAAAACGAAATCTACAAGAAACCCATTGTATCGATGGACTTTGGGAAGTCCTAACACATCGAAGTTGGATAACACGAAGCCACTTTCAAAAAACTCCGACCACGTCAATGGATTTGTTGCCAACAAAATATGTGAAATGCAAACTGATTCGTTAAGTTGCGACTCATCAGCTATTAGCTCTTTGTTTGATGATAATAATGTCTCCATCAATCAGTTTGCATTCTCTCCTTGTGGCCGTTTCCTTGCCATCATTACAGAAGATGGTTACATGAGGGTGATGGAGTATCACGAGATGGAGCTATACGTGAGTTTCTACTGCATGGTGCCTCATTATTTAATATCTTTAAACTAAAAATGCACTTCTTTCTCATCTTTGAAACTTGATAGTTCACTGTTGGGTTTTGCATATGTATTAAGACAGAATGAAACAAGTACTTCTCGGCCATATTTTGTGTATCGGTTGTTCGTAGATCCAAATAGGGACGTAAAGTGATGTCTTAAGATCAATGTTTTGTTTAAGGTGAAAAATCAGCTTCAGTAAAAGACAGCCAAACCATGAAGGGCGACGTGGCTTCTAAAAAAAGTTTGGTGAGCTCTTGCAGTCTAGGTATTGTTTTTTACTGGTTTTATCACATCATCTTATACTCACATTAGGCAAAACTCATCGCAGATTCACAGTCCTTCAAAGCGTTGAGAAAGCTGTTCTCTCATTTTTCCGTCTTACAGAACCGAGTCCACGCTAGAGTAAGGATATTTTGGTTTAGATTAAAGTTATGTCCAGTTTATGGCATATACCTCTATAGCATCCAGTTTATTTGACTCTGATGGTATGGATATGGGCAAATAATTTGATAAAAAGTATCTCATCATTCAAATCTTTGTCTTTACACAAGAAGTCATGTGAATTTGTTGGTCGCAATCAGACAAATTCACTCTTTCTACCCACCATTCAGGACGTTTATTTATGGTCAAAACTATGATTGATGCTTATCCCGTCAAAGGTAATCCAATCACTGTAGAACATTGTTTGTAGTTTAATTCGCGAGACTGGTCACAGTTGGTCGTTTGTGACCGGAAAAGTCTTTTGACTGTATCAAACATCTACTAGAGAATATCTTGCATATTTCGTGCCTAATAAATAGTATACAATGTTCCTAGTGGTGATTTCAGCTTACGTCTATGTTATCTAACTTCATAGTTGTATGATGTGTGATAAAACCTCCAAGTGGAAGGTGTAACACACTAAATGAAAAAGCTTGGACCAGATTGCTAGGCGAAATGTTGGATTTCAAAGTCATTCGCTTAGATTTTACAAATATATTATTCCTATTTAATGTCTTACATCAACTCGGCGCTCAAATACTGTCAAGCTATTCGCTCTAATTTAGACGAAAGTTCTTATCTAAATGGGAATTAGTTGTTAAATACTTGAATGTAAAAATATTTATATCAGTTGAATTTACTTTACCCAAATGAGAACTATTTAGTGCTTGCTCTAGTCGTTTAGGTAACTGTTCCTACCTGTGGAACTGTGTGAAAACTAGGACTAATGACCGGATCTAGTTTTAAACATCGCTCGTTATATTTCTTGAGATTCGTACCACATACAACTAATAGACTATTGTGCCTTTCAATATTTCCCATTAGTTCGTCTGTTCATCCTCACCAAACTTGAAAGGACTTTTAAGTAACCAAGAAATTCACCAGTTGCGCGTTTTTTCTGATCAGTCGCAACACATACTGATTTTCAAATATTATAGTGTTTTAAATATGAAACAATATAACAAAATTTCAGTGTATTAGATTTTCCAGTTTATTCTTAGTTTGATAATTCACAGCATTACGATAGAACTGGCTGTTTGGAATATTGGTTGTGTTGGATGTTTTTCTCTGTTATAGGGGTTCATGCGTTCGTACTTTGGGGGTTTACTTTGTGTAGACTGGTCTCCAGATAGTTTATTTATTGTCACTGGAGGACAAGATGACCTAGTAACGATTTGGTCCGTTCTAGACAGAGCTGTTATTTGTCGCTGTCAAGGCCACAAATCTTGGGTTAGCATGGTGCGCTTCGATCCATATCTATGCCCCACTAATAATGATATTTCTAATGATGACTCAGTATCTGCCTCCTCACGTTCCCACTCACTTAAAGCGAACCATGAAGAGTTGGACGAAAGTTCAGTTATTAGAAATTCACCTGTTACAGTTTGTGAAACTAATGATCTTAGAACTTACCGGTTAGTTGCCCTTTTGTTACGTATTTTCTAGCATTTTGTTATCTTTATTTTCTTGAGTTGTGGTTTTGAAGACCTATTCTGACAAATTATTTATAAATTAAAGTTCAAACCTCTGGGGACGAACAAAGGTTAATATTTCCCCCCCTCAAAGCCAAACCCTTTTTGCTTTACTTCGAATGCTGTATGTAACTGTTAATTATCCCATAAGTATCGCTTAAAATAATACACTATATCGGATTACATTTACTCGTTAGCGACATTCCTCAAGTGTCATAAAGTCTAGTTTTGTACCTAAATTATTTAAAACCAGGCAAGAATTACTGAAAACTATGTAATATTACAGGATTGTGCTTAACATACCAGTATCCGAGTTATAGGAAAGACTATAAATAGAAAGAAGACTGTTGATTTTGTGCATTTAGTATTTTCAAACTTGAACTGTACTGAATAAGTATTTATCGGGGAGTTTTCTATCCAGTCTGTGCTTAAATTGGACTAGGTATGTCTCAAATATCCGTTGCTTGAAAATCGAACTACTAATTATAATCAGACTGGAACATCTAATAATACTGAGTTTCTGGTAAGCACTTATCTGTTCCACCAGTAAAAAAATGTCATTTGACCCATTAATTGCCCTGAATGTTAAGATAACAAATTCAGCCCATCAGAAGTCCTTTGTATGACATATGTGCAGATTGTATTTAAATGTTTTTACCACCTAATATTTTATGTACAAAGTAAGTATACACTGAAAAGATGTTTTTTTTTATCGAGTTGTGGTCATCAAAGTCAGTCCAAAATATCCTCATTGGTTTACCAGTATTCGTATCATATAGGTACCCGAATTTTGGTGGTATATCACGCTTAAAGACGATTAGTTGTACTGAAGAAGACATAATCAGAACCATATCTTTCATAGATGCTTAATAATCTAGCTAATACCTTTAACTGCAAGTCGTGGCACATCACACATTTTCCGGTAGGTTCTTTAATTACTAATTACTACAACAGTCGTAAGTCAGGAATTCTTATTAGAAAGTAGGGACTTTATTCAGTACTTTTCACTAATGAGCAACTAAGTTTTTTTATAGTGGTTTTAGAAACTTGGTTACTTGGAAGGTAGTTTCCTTAACGACCTTAGTTTTGATTGAAAATAACGATATCCAACAGTTACATATATTATACCTGACGATTCAAAAGTCACAATTTTGTTTTGGTGTTTCAAGTGAACATTTCTGCTGAAAGGCAACTCAGTAATAATAGTTCCATGTCATTGTATAGTAAGAGTTATTTTTGACCGATGTTTCATCTTTTGATTACTACTGTAAACAGTCTTGTAACTTATGAGAGTTACTAAAAAATGTAAAATCATTGTGAGTGATTCAATATTTATTTCTTAGCTGACAATTTACTTGTATTTCTATGTTACTTACGGTGTATACTTTCCAATTGTGTATTGTGAAGTACCTGAAATAATTCATATGAGCATCCATAAAACCACTTCAACAGTTTAATCCAGTTTTTGTCACATTATTTTCCTAAATTTTGTGTAAATGTTTTGTACCCTTAATTTTTAGCCTTGGCTCAGTTGGACATGACACCATGTTGTGTTTATGGGATCTGACAGATGATATAATTCGTCAAGGAGTTGCATTTATTCGTTCAGCAATAAAAAATTCAGACAACAGTTTCGGAAATCTTACCTGTGATACTTCTTTTCCTCATATAACAAACTCTTCTGTTTTGAATATGACGTCTAGTTCTGTTTTGAGCTGTAATACATCTACTGCTTTACCATCTCCACAGTCAGGAAATGGCTCATCTACTTCTTCAACTGTTTCTTCTCCACATATTCACTCCACCCGACCTTCAGTCAAATTGAGTGATAGCCGTTTTTTAAATAAACGCAAGAATTTTACTAGTCCCATACCTTCATTTGGTCCTTCGTCGAACGGGGCAAACAGCGGATCCGATAAATCAAAATCCATTTTTCCACTTCGGGCTTTTCACTGGTCAAATTCAAATCCAAGTAGTCGAATTAGTACAAGTGTTCGGTTTCCTCGTCTTGGTAATTCAGAAAAGTCTAATGGATCTGCAACTAATTCACTTAAAACTTGTAACCTCGGTCGTTTGAGTGAAGTTAGATGGATGTTATCGATAGCTGAACATAAGTATGTTTTCTGGCTACTTTCACACTAGATTTTAAAATCAGTGTTTTTTAAGACTGTTTTCGGATGAACGCTTTTGTATAATCGGCAAAATAGACAATTTTCAAGCACAAACTTCAGATTATGGTCTAATAAAGCCTCAATGGTGCTTGATAGTTTTTGTCGCATTTCTTTTCTGGTTCTCTCTCGTAATTCGTTTGTTGTTGCTACCACGTTTTTCTCGGTAAGAAAATTGTAATTTGAGTCCACACAAAGTCATAGAGTGTTGGCTTGGTGGCTAAGAAGTTTGACTTTCAGCCATTCAATCTCAGGCTCGAACCCCCACTCCAGCCACTTTGGTTTGGACAACCGCGCAGCATCACCAACACATACACTCAGTGTGTGGTTTAATTAAAAAGACTTAGAAAACTCGTACTTAGAAGCGCTTATAAAAATATATTCAGAACACAATCATTAACTTCATAAGAAGGCCTAATATGATGAATGCTCCTGACACTCAGTCAGTCAGTCAGCTACAACGTAGGACCAGGCACAAATATGCATCGGTCCAAGTTGCCATACCTCGTTAGCACAACAAGATGAACACCGAATACATAGAAGTAGTTAATTTGGTGGTGATAATGTATAAAAGAAAGGTTGTATATAAGGATATAGTACAGGAAGAAAGACAGATATGAAGCAATTTTAATCTCAAGGTTTAAGAGGAGATAAAGAGTGTATACACCTGCGCCACTGTAATCGATTCTAAGCCATGTCATCCAAAGTCTCCAAACATGGTTACGATAGTCACGCGGACCCCAACCAAGTAGTCTGCATTTACCAACATGGCTCAGACTAGAAGTTAGTGAATTCAAGCTCTGATGCCACGTTTTGGTTTCGCCGCCCCTAACTTTCTTCCAACAATCGCTAATACTAGTCAGCGTTGCGCGTCGTGGTAATCGGTGTTCAGGCGTACGTAACACGTGGCCAAACCATCTCAGTCGATGAAGATTCATGACCTCACCAATTGATTTACCATTATCCCCTAATACCCTGCGTCTAATCTCATTATTACTTATCCGACGTTCCCAGCAGATGAGAGCAATATTTCTAAGGTCAAATACTAGTTACTTACGAGTACCTTCTATTCTTAATAGCTACGTTTTGTAGCCGTAGAGTAGAACAGAGCGAACTGCTGCGCAGTATACTCGTCCCTTAATTGATAGACGGATATCTCATCTTGGCCATAGGTGACGTAAGTTAGCAAAAGCCAAACGAGCTTTTTGAATCCGTGCTGAGATTTGGTCAGACATTAACCCATTAGGGCCGACCAGACTTCCACGATAAGTGAAGTTGTCGACGCTAAATACAATTACTTAGTAGTTGTTCGATTTTTTATGTAACATTGTAACACATGCAATCTTGATGGGAATTCATAATTATCCAATTCTATGAGCAATCCTGATTCCTTGAAGTGTCCTGTCATTTATCGTGATTTCCAAGACTTCCGTATATATCTTAAGAGTTTGTCATAAGTAATCCTTTTAGTCAGTGAATCATGTAAAACGACGCATGCTCATCAGTTCAATTTTTCATATCATATTAACACAGAGATTAAATTATCAAGAAAAATTCCAGAATAGCAGAAGTAGTAATAGTATCAATATTATTAGGAAAGGTTAGACATAGAAAAGGTTGTAGGGTGACTTCGAGACTCAGGTCCTAAAGTAGTACAAAGAGTGAATACACCTGCGCCATTGCAATTGATTCTGAGCTATAGCAACCAAAGTCTATAAACACTGGTTACAATGATCCTGCGAACCCTAATCAAGTAGTCCACACCTATTAATAACATAATTCAGTCCATTTATCAATGATTTCGTGGACTCGTACGACATCTTGGTTTGATTGCTTCCAGATTTCTTCCAGACAGCATCGCTCATCAAGGTAGGCAGGCGGTGGCTGAGCATATGTAACACATCTCAACCACCTCAGGTGATGTAAATTCACTACCTTATCAACATTATCAGAGTTTCAAAATATGCTCCAGAATAAGCTGACATCTTTCATAGAATTTGTACTGCAATAGCTGATGACAATGTGGTGTGTTCATGTCCATCATTGAGTTGATTGTAGTGGTTTCTATGTTAGACGATGTCTCTATACATAAAGTTACCGCTAGCTGGGAATAAATGGTTATCTGCATATTTACAGCAGCCGCTCACCGTCATCTGTTTGTTGAGCTGCGATACTGTAAGATTCGTCAAGGTGCCTTTTATATACTGTCTTGTGGATCAGACCTTTAGGTCAAAGGCTCCGGGTGTAGCCCCCTTCAGAAAACCACCTGCTTCGTTCTGGGCACCCAGGCAGTATCATAGCCCTCCCACAAATAAATGAAATGACAATTTTGTGTGTGGCGTATATGTATCTGGTGCTCCTTTGTACCAATATTTATGTGCTCAAATAAACAATAATTAAGAAGAAAGCTAGGGACGGTCAAACCAAAACATAATATCAGTCCATAAAGTCCCCGACCGTTGCTGCTACCTTGACGTGATGGTCGGGCTTGCCTATCGTGATGATCCAATCGCCCGATCGTTGCTGCTACCTTGACGTGGTGGTCGGGCTTGCCTATCGTGATGAAGCAATCGAGCTATGCTGGCTGGAACAGTCGTTCCTCGAGGTCCTACCATGCCAGACCCTAAAAATGCACACCTCGCCTTATCCCACGGATTTCCGTCTCCGGCGGTAAGGACTTTTGAAGAACGGAGCTAACACATCAAAAATCCCCCACAAAAAGGCCGTGCGTGACCGGCCTCAAGCAGATGTCCCTTGGGCACTGCGGTCACGCTCCCAGGTCGTTAAGACCAACACTAATCCAACTTCTTTTTCAGGTCCCTCAAGAAATACCCTTCCACGATGTGGGCAGCCGGGAAGCGATACTAGCCCTCATACCCTTAACTGCACACGAGACCAAGTTGGTCGCTTTCAAATCCTTCCTACACCTAATAGCTCTGTTATCTCCACGACTAACCCTTCCCACGTCCTTTTATCACCTCGCACCGCTAGGGCAAACGATTCGAGTACACAGAACGTTATTCCTGGTCTCCTGAAACCACGCTCTAAACTACATATAGGAACTTTTAATGTCCGAACATTGTGCCAAATAGGACAACAGGCTTCCTTAGCTAGGACTCTAGAATCTTACACCATCGATGTGTGCTGCGTCTCCGAAACGCGCATACAAGATCCGAGTAGTGTCATTCATTTGACCGCACCTAATCAAAATAAAGTTTCATCTCGATACACGCTTCGTGTATCTGGAAGCCCTGATGCTGCTTCCCGTGGCCTCGCTGGAGTAGGTATAGCATTAAGTCCTAGGGCAGAACTAGCTCTTTTAGACTGGATCCCAGTAGACAGTCGTCTATGCGCTGTCCAACTAAACGGATCAGTAAGGACCCGGAAAGATAGGGAAACTCGTCGTTGCCTCTTCGTCGTCTCTGCCTACTCTCCCACTGACTGTAGCTCAGACGATATAAAAGATGAGTTCTACAGGAAACTTTCTGACCTTCTCCGAGAAGCTAGACGTTCTGATGTAGTAATAGTAGCAGGTGACTTTAATGCTCAAGTAGGTAAAGTAAGTGAAAGGGAAAGACACCTGGGTGGATCTTATGGTGTCATGGCGAAAAGAACAGATAATGGCGACCGTCTGTTGCAGCTATGCTCAGATAACCGCCTATTTCTTGCAAATACTAACTTTAAGCATAAGGAAAAACATCTTTTGACATGGCGACCCCCGAATTCGTCCCAACGTTGGATCCAATTAGATCACATCGCTATCAGCCACCGATGGAGGGGCTCGATAGAAGACTGTCGCTCATTCTGGGGCACATGTTTAGATTCAGATCATGCTCTAGTGCGAGCACGTATCTGTCTGCGTCTTACTGGTCGTAGGAAAGACACTGCAGGGAAGCCTCTAAGGGTTCTACTTAATGATAGGCAAGCTAAAAATATATTTCAGGAACAACTAGAAAAACAGTTAGGCAGCCATGTAAGTTGTGTCCACCCCGAGGCAGCGTGGAATGACATCCGAAAAGCTGTGGAAACAGCAGTGATATCCGCTAGTAAGGTAAACCATAAGGTTAGGGAGAAACAATGGATCTCGGCAGCATCTACCGCACTGATAGATGCTCGAAAACTCATCCCACCTGGCTCTGAGCATAACGAAGAGCGGAGTCAACTTAAGCACAGGCTTATAAGAAGCCTACGTAATGATCGTGAACAGTGGTTGGTAGCGAAAGCAAGAGAGATGGAAAAGGCAGCGGCAATAGGTAACAGTAGGCAGCTATTCAGACTCGTTAAAGAAACCGGTATTAGGAACCCGAATATCAGTGAAACCATCTCAGATAAAGATAAGCATATTATTCATTCTCAATCCAGGAGATTGGATCGATGGGCAGAACACTTTAGGGATCAGTTCAACTGGCCTTCAGCCACACTTCAATTACCCACGATCCCCAGTCGTCCTGAATGGCAAATTGATGTAAGTCCTCCAACCCTCTGTGAGGTTAAAAAAGCTATAGGAAATCTGAAGCGAGGGAGAGCAGCAGGTCCTGACAGGTTGACCCCTGAGATTTTTAAGGATGGTGGTCCAGTACTAGCAGTGAGATTGACTGAGGTCTTAGGTAGAATCTGGGAACTGGACGTAATTCCATCTGACTGGTCCCCATCATTGATTGTGCCAGTCTATAAGAAAGGACAAAAGTCCTCCTGTGACAATCACAGAGGAATCAGTTTGACTAATATAGTGTCTAAAATATTAGCTTCAATAATACTAGGTCGCCTAACCAAAGCTCGTGAAGAGCAGACTAGAGAAAACCAGGCTGGTTTTCGACCTGGACGTGGTTGCATAGACCAGATATTCACCCTACGTCAGGTTCTAGAACATAGACACAAATTCAGACGTCCCACAATAGTAGTATTTCTTGACCTTAAGGCGGCATTTGACTCCGTTGATCGTGAGGTTCTATGGCAGTGTTTGTCAGTGAAAGGAGTACCAAAGAAGTACATTAACCTCATAAAGGCTCTCTACTCGAACACAACTGGTCGAGTTAGAGCCTATGGCGAACTGTCATCAGAACTGATTACCACAAGTGGCGTTCGTCAGGGCTGTCCACTCTCCCCATTCTTGTTTAACTTTGTCATTGACATACTTTTAGAGATAACAATTTCATCAGCTAAACCTCCAGGAGTTGAACTTTTACCAGGAGGCTCACTTGTTGACTTAGAATACGCCGACGACATAGTTTCACTCGGTGAAGACGCTGACAACATTCAGAGTCTTCTGACCACTATAAGCAACTATGCAGGCATGTTCGGGATGCGATTCTCTCCCTCGAAGTGCAAAATGTTACTTCAAGATTGGATTGCAGCGACACCTGAACTAATGATAGGGAGTGAAGTAGTTGAGCGTGTAGACCACTTCACTTATCTTGGGAGTCTCATCAGCCCTTGTGGTCTGGTATGTGACGAAATCTCAGCACGGATACAGAAGGCTCGTCTAGCTTTCGCCAACTTGCGTCATTTATGGCGTGGGCGAGATATCCGTCTAGCAACCAAAGGACGGGTTTACTGTGCAGCAGTACTTTTATTCGCAAGATGACAGCAACCGATGGTTAGAGACCTTAAATGACATGGCTCAAAATCGTTTGCAATGGCGAAGGTGTATCCACTCTTTGTGTTCTACCAAATTCTAATCTTCTCAATTCCTCATGTCTTTATCTTTTTCTCTTTCCAAATTTATTTCACTGTACTATACTCCTTCAATAATTTCTTCAAACCCTAATCTTTTGGATTTCTGACTATACTCCTACTACTTCTACCACTATGGGATTTGAATCGACAACTGCATCTCTGTGCTAATGTGGTATGGCAACTCGAACTGATGTACGTACGTACGAAGTTCTACGTTGTGACTGACTGACTGAGTCCATAAAGTCATAAGTAATTAAACAGTTATATTAATAGGTGTAGACTACTTGGTTGGGATCCACGCTATTATCGTAACCATTGGTTATAGACCAGGGGACGTGGCTCAAAATTGCCTGCAATTGTGCAGGTGCATCCATTCCTTGTCTTTCCTCAGATTCTGAGATCATAAATTTCTCGTCACCTTTTTTCGTTTTATTTCACTAATATATATTTTCCTTTCGAATAGCATTTCTGATGCCTAGTCTTTCTTATCACCACTCATACTGTTACTGCCACTACTCTTCTGAATTTGGGCCTGACAATTTCATCTCTCTGTGCTAATGGGGTATAACAACTTGAACGGATGTACATATGTACTAGGTTCTACATTGGGACTAACTAATTCTACCAACTTGGGCATTAAAATTACGTACCACTATCACTACATTGTCAATATAAGTTCAACATTTGAGTCTGCCATTAACAGTTTATTGTAAAACTATCTTGCTTTATTACAATATTAGTTGATCTTAAAATGTTATTTTCAAATTGTTATTTAGTATTTTCGGTTCTCCGTTGTGCCCTCGAATCAGTGATGTACCTATGCTTGAACCACTTGTGTGTACACGAATCTTAAAGGATCGAGTAACTGATCTTGTCTTTCGTCGTGATACGATTCATATTGTAGATCAGCAAGGTTTATTTTTGGCATGGCAAAGACCTGTAAGTTATTTTTTATGAAATAATGTTTAATTTACGCGATTTTATTTATAATTATCACTCAATACTTTAGTGATTGTTTCAACGTCGTTTATTGTCTCAATTATTCATGACTGGCATTAGTATAACAATATGATGTAATTTGTTCAGTTTGAATGAGAAAAAAAAACAATCTTAGTTTACTATCATTTCATTATAGTTCGTTCCATTCATTTCAAAATGAAATAAATGTGAATAATTGCTATTTTTGCTAATTGATATCAATAGAGATATTTCGTAAAGCAAAGAACATGGAATTTTTAATCCAGCTGGCTGATACACAGCTAAAATGATAAAAACCGAATACAATCTAATAGGTGTATTGATTTAACATAATGCTATATTGGAACAATATATAATATCAAACTTATAGAATTACGTAGAAGTCCTCAGAAAAATGTAACAGTTCAATTTGTAAGTAATATACAAAGAATAAATCCATAAAAATAAGGTGATATTAAAAGGAATAAAACCAATAAATAAACCACTTAACAGTAAGAATTAATTGTGAATTAGTATCAACAAGTAGTGTTTGTTCGAATCTTCCTATCAATGTGTTAGGACTGCAACTGGTCAGTTTCTAATTGGCATATGTGCATACTGTGCGTATTGCCTCGATATAGCCTTAATTCACAAGCATGGTAAACAGGTACATCCAGCTGACGAGTCCCAAATAAGACGAAACGCACGTCCTGGATTCCACTGCTAGCCACTATCCATCTCTGCTTAGTATTAACAAGGTTGGAAATAATTCATCATAGTGCTTATTGTCAAATTACTACGTATCTGTTCGTGTAAATATCGAAGAAACTTGTCACGTTTTCAAATTTCAATATAATTTTAACTCTACAATTTGATAGTACACTACTTTTTCAATCTACCAAAATTCATCAGTTCATAAATCATCATCTTTATACAGATAATATTCATGTTTTGTAGCCAATATTAGTTCATATTTAATATTCATATGTGTGTTATCCATACTTGTTTTATTTACTATCTGTTAAGAATAAATTTTCTATCATGTGAAAGAGTCTTTTTTGTTCTTCACTTTCAAATTTTAGGTTGAAGTGAAAGAAAATACATCAATTAATCAAATACCATTATGTCATTCAAATGATTGGGATTCATCTGCCTCAACATCTAATAAAGTTTTTCAATAATAAGTAAACTTTAATTGAGTTATCATTTATTAGGTTATACTGTGATATTTGTACTACCAATACACACATACACACAAATATAGATTAGAAAATGATATATATATATATATATATATATATATATATATCCACAACCAATCAGTCAATCCAAAAAAGAAAGTTCCTTCCTGTTAATGAAACACAACTAATATTATTTTCTTTTCATTAATGGGAAAAAGGGAATTATTGTGATTATATTCATGGTAGTCATTTGTTTATAAACAAAATTAACTATTTTTGTATGTGTGTAAATTATGAATAATAATAAATTACACTGGTATTATGTTGACGAAGCTAATTACAAAAGTAAAATGAACAAAGAGAAAAACCTATGCATAAATTATATAATTATCTTTCATATCCGGTATTTCCATTCCTCATCATAATAATGATTATATATATATATATATATATATATATATATATATATATATATACTACAGTTTGTTCTATTTATATGTTCATCTTATCCTCAATTGTCTGGAAAATATTACACGTACACGTATATATATCTAAAGTTTGCAAAATCATTACTAACAAGAAATAAAATGCTCAATATGACTTATTCTCTTCACTTTATCAATTCAATGTGTATGAATAATATTTACTTTCTGTTTCCCTAATTCATTTATTTGGGAGCAAACGAGTGTGTGTTTGTTGGTGGGGGAGGGAATAAAAGAGGAGAAGAAAATGTTACCAAAAGGAAAGTTTCATTGTCTTTATGTAATCACGCCATACATGTGTCATTTTATTTCTCATTGTTAATGTTGTACATGATTCAGAGTACATGAAGTATACTACTAATGATGCGATTAGAAGAAAATTCTTTATCATTCATGAACGTAAATAATTTATTTTGCAATATTATTTTTTATCTAACTATGTATATCTAAATCATTGTAATTGTCATTAGTATTGTTATGGCAATTATTTTGTTGGTTTGTTTTGTCACTGTTTTGTTTTTTGAACTGAGTTATCAGTCATCAACACTTTCTTGTTTACTGTATTCTATTGTTTGTTTCCTTCCAACTATTTTATTCTTACACAGGAATTATATGTGTATATCCTTATTCTCTGTTTCTCAACTAACAACCAGCACTATTTATTATAAACTACTGTTCAATACATGTTTGTCTGTTTTGAAATCTGATGAATTTCAAGTAAGAAATAGAGAAACACACGCATGTGTACATTCCTCATTACCGATTCTTTCCTTTTTTCGTCATTCGCCTTGATCTCACAAAAGATTACTGTTCAATTGCCAAAGTTCACTAATTATCATACCAATTTCATACTACTAATAATAACAGTTCTTATGTAATCATAACCTACTATGTGACTTGACAATTTCTCCTTTAATGAATCTCCCACATTAAATTGTATTCACTGTTGAGATTTTTTTTTCAATGACTTTCTTAATCACTATGATCATTATCATTTCAGTTTTCATGTTTCGTTTAGTTTTTACTTTTAAATAATTAACAAAATTTAACTATTTAATTCGTTTTTTGAAAATATTCTTTCTCTTCTGAAAGAATAAAAAAAATAATTATCATATGAAATAATCTCCTATTAATCTATATTTTTTATTTCTAATGTATATTAATGTGAAACAAGAAAGATCTTAGGGAAGATGTTCTGTTTTGTTTGTTCATTTCAATAAACAACTGTTGGGGACCGTTTTCATTCAATTGCTTGCTTTTATTTAATGTACAGATAAGTTGTTTTTTGTTTGTTTGTTATTGAAATAATTGTGTAAATTAGTAGCGAAAGCAATAACGATAATAATAATAAACATAGATAAATTTCAACTGTTTATTAATTGTTACTGTGTGTCTCTATTTTTCTTTTCTCATTCTCGCTGTTTTGTGTTTTTAGTTAGTGTATTGTGGAAAATATCTCGTTTAATATATTAGTTCATAGGGGAATAGGGACAAGTGATCTTAAGATTGAAGTCATTAATAACAAAACTCTATTTCTTCAGCAACATTTGTCGCGGTAATAGTAAAAAATTTTCAGCGCGAAATATGTTATATTACGACGAATTGTTCTTTGGTGATAGTTTCTTCATCGCCTCCTGTTTTTATAAAAAAACATATGAAAGAATATATCCCAACAACTATTGCAGTTTGGTTCGGATTTCCGTATTTAACATCATGAAAAGTTGTAAGCGTTTAATAAAAGCGCATGAATTCGTAATATGGTCAACTTAAGTCATTAATTAAATTTAAAATGGGGAAATTCATCGTTATGTTGGGTATAGGTGAAAAAGGTTTGAACAGGTTTTAAAAATAGAACTGTTGTGTACTGTAATTGGTTTATGTTTAAAATACAAGTCGTTTCTTAGTAAAACATTTCAATATTTGGTAACTCGTTTACTAAAATAAAAATGAACTTATAAACTTTTGTATTTTAAGATGTGTAGTAATAATGTTCTAGGGATTAGTTTTAAAAGGCATATAAACCACGACGACTACTTTGTAGACTCGAAATGAACAAGAGATAGAGTCCTATGGGGTGAGTTTGTGGAGATTTCATCACTATATATTACACCGGGGTTTAAGAATTATTGAATTGTTAAATAGAAAGCTTATATCACAAATAAAAGTAATTTCCTACCAAAATACCGTTCCTTGAACTATTTTGACAATTTTGTTTTACATCTATATAAATAATGCATAAGTTAATTAGTATGATAATATGAAGCATAGATCATTAATATGAGATGAATTCAGATTTCCTTTAGTGTTTTGTTTTATGCAGATTTAATCTATTAGAAATATTAAGTTCAATTTAGTTTCAGTGTAATGAATGGCATCAACCTGTCCTTTTCCATTTTTATTGAAAAACAGTCTTGAAAAGAATTGTTTTACCTGTGCGAGGATGATAAAGTCCGTGAACCGCTTAATTTGGTAAAGAAAAAAACAGTTCACACGTCTCGATTTCAATAGCTATTTATGAATAAAATGTCTGCGATAAATTTGCGATTTTAATTTGTTACTCCATGTGAATCACATGAACATAAGAAGTCTAAACAAAGGATTCAACTAACTTATACTGTGAAGAAACATATGTTGTCAAGTGAAGTTATGTCCCTGAATTTTGCTTGACCAATTATTTTAAAATGAACTATACCCAAATGTTAGTTTTTGGCAGTTCTAAGTGAACGAATTTCATAGGAGCATTTATTAAATTTCAAAAATGTATATGGATTAACTTTTAAAATGGATCACCCTAAACTCGTGACCATGACTTCCTTTAAATACACAAATCGAGACTTAATAATAGAAGTGTCATTGCCAAGTAGGAGTGTAGTTCCAGTCCTTTATTGAAGGCTCGATATTTCAGCCACATTTATTATATTCGCTATGTGACTAATTTTCAAATCTACATAAAACGTGAATCGTCTGCATTAGGTTTTGGTGTATACGAAGATTCACCAATAAACAATCAGAAGTTCCATTTTCTTTTCCCTCATTTGTTTTTTCATCTCAATATTTCTAAGAGTAAAGTTATTGTAATTTGTACAAATTAGGGTCTGAAATACTAAAGTTGGGGAATACTATTAATATGACAACGGATCTAACTTGATCCAGTCGATGATTGATACACGAATAAAAAGAGAGAAGTTCGAAATTTGCAAGACAGCCTTTATAATTCAAGAAAAGATGATGAAATTGATTAATGTTAGCGTGTATTCATTGTTTAGCCTTTCGGCAGGTTTGGGTCCAGCATAAAAGCACCTTATGTACTGGGGGAATGCGAGACTCCAGAAGAAAAACAGACAAAAAGAAAAGTTAGCTGGTGACTCAATAGCCACGTAAAATGTACAAGTACTTAATAATGAAAGCAATCGACATTTAGGGCGAACCTGTAATTTATGGACGAACCAATCAGAAGCGAATGATTTCAAAGTCATAGTGGTTAGTTTACTGTTGATTTTAAGGAAGTTGTAGTTGAGCAACTGCAACAGATGGAATTACTGAAAAGTTCCTTTATTTGTTGTTGCGGTGTTCAAAAGACTACTGGACATTGTGCAGACTATCATAACGATGTTGTACTTCAATTTAATATATGTTGGAGGAAAACGATTGCTAGAAAAGGGGACTTTTTTTACTCAATCCCGATCAACACTAAGAAAAATTATGATAATTGTTGTAGACTAGATAATAAAAGTACCAGTAACAATGGATGCAACATTTGCACATGTTGCTGAAGCTTATACAGTTCAATGGTATGAATACTGTCGTGATATATGTGCAATGAAAATGACAATTTTGAATCAATCGTTCGGTGGAATCAGGAGAATCGTAGAAATCGACGAAACAGTCGTTAGAAAGTGCAAATTTAGTAGAGGAAGAAGTATTAGAGCAGACTGAGTAAGTTTCAATTCCTTAAATATACTTAACAGGTTCTTGGTATATGTGATTGGTTATCTCAAAAGAGACACTTCCAGGGAGTGAGAAACCGACAGGACACAAAAATATTACCAATTATACGAGAGTATGTACAGCCGGGTACCACAATATACACGAATGAATGGAGAGCATATCGACGCCTATCTAGACATGGTTACGTGCATCGTATCATCGTTCACAAGTCACGTTTTGTAGACCCTACCATGGAAGTACACACCAATAATATAGAAGCGATGTGGTAGAGGTTAAAAGAATTTTAGCAACCCTACCATGGCTCCAGAGGTCGATTATTATGGAGTCACATTGATTAGTTCCTGTAACGTATGTATTATAATTTCAGAACTGCAGAGCCTGGTTCTAACCTTGAAAAGTTTGTTTTTTTTTTGTTTTTTTTCTGAGGTTATACCAAAATGTCATAAAATACCAGAGATTATAAGATTTTAATGGATATTTTTTAATGCACATTACTATTTTGTAGATAGTATTTCTTTTGGGTAATACGAAACAATCAAAAGTGAATCATGTATACAAAGCGGATTGGTGAGGAAGGCTAATAATATCATATTAAATCATGTTACATTGTATAATAACTTTAAAAATAGATATCTAAAAAAGTTGATCTTTTTTTTTGTAAAAAAAAGTGGATTTTGAACATATTTCATTGTTTAAACAATGTGGAAGTTTTATTTGATAAATGTCATCTATAAAATCATGAACTTATTATTTAATAAGTTGAGTTTCTTTTAAATTTGACCAGTAAAACTAGAAACAAAAGTTATCTATGGTAAATTTGTCATAGATGTTATGATCAAATGACATTTTACAACAAATAACTATGACGAAAGTCAACCTGGATCGTGGAGTTTACGAATTCCTGACGTTCGTTGTTGTCGATTAGAAAAAGGAACTTAATAAAATAGACATTAATAGTATTTGTGAGCTGAAAAAGTAGAGAAAGATGGATATTTCTTTTACAATAGACTTGTTTATTAAAAAGGATAAGTTTACTGGATTGAGACCTGATATATGAATAATAACTGAGAACAGTGAATCATTATAGGTTTCGATTCAGTAGTCTAAATAAATGTTGAATTCATAAGTCAATCTAAGCTAGATAACCATTGAAAACCTGGAAGAACTGAATGGCATATCCATCCTAGTATGGGAATTTTCATCAGAGTCCATGCACGATCCCATATGCAGGATACGAACCCGGGACCTTCGGTCTAGCGCATGAATGCTTAACCTCTCGACTATTGAGTCAGCATCCAACAGTGTTAATGTCTGAATTCAATCGATCCATGATCTTGTGCAGCCCTTCATCCATAGTCTATAGTAGATAATTGTTTAACAACCTACATGGATTGGACTCCACTGGTCACGACCTTTCACTAGTACTCCAGTAAAATCTATTTTCAAACTAGCCACTAGTGAACACAGCCAGCTTAGATCGATTCATGAATTCAGCTCTTAAAATTACTACAACCTCCACAAAGCCTCATTCTGATAAAAGAAATGTTTTCGACGTGATACCCAAGGGTTTTACTTTCAATACATGATTAGATTTTGTGTGCAAACTACCATTCAGTGCAAAATTAAGATAAAATAACTTTAGTTTGCTTCAATAAAGTTAGTCTGTAATGTAACCTTGTAGTGAACAAAACACTGGTTAGGGACAATCAAATATATTTAAGCAAAAATTACAGACTATCTCAGTAAATTCTGATAACCAAACAATGAACAGTCAATTTGCAAATTAACAACCAATAGTCTCGATCTTCACTGTTTTTTCTCTAATTCCATTGTTCGTCCATTTTCCTTCCGATTGCGCTTTGTTTCAGTCCTTTCCTCATCGGTCTTCTGCGAAAATACATTCTATGCCTGACCAACATCATATACTACTTATATAGATATAAGTAAATCACACCACAACCTATCTTCAAATTAAGCCTATCTTCGCAAGCCTCATCTATAAACAGAAACAAAATACATTAAAATCTATATGCTGGTTTCAAACTAGGCAGAAATATGAAGTTTAACTAACTAACAATAACCACTCAATGATATTCAGTAGCTAAAAAAAATATACCAATACTTTATGCTCTTAAAAGACGAGATAGTAGTTCAATTTATGTTGTGTTTTAATCCATAAGATTACATTGTCTGAATAATATTACTGGATATTTTATTTTGTTATTCTTGAATAAGTCAGCATAAGTCAGTGAACATGTTTATATTATAATTTTAGCTCGACTAAAAGTACTTTTAGAATAATCTGTTTATCAAGCAGAGATGGATGATGGCTAGCAATGGAATCTAGGACACGCACTTCATCCTATTTTAAGATTATTTATATGTATGTACCTTCATTTCAGGATTGATATTCACTCA